ATTTATTTTTTAAAGTTTTTTTTTTTTCTTCTTCAGATGTTTCAACAATATCCAAGAATGGCATATCCTCCTCCTGCGCATGGATCCATGAGATTCCCACCTGCTTTATCTGAAAATAACAAGTAAGACTATTAAGTGATTAAAATCTATAATGCACGTTGTTAAAGTGCTATCGAGTCAGTTCCAACCCATAACGAACCCTGTATACGGTTTCCAAGGAATAGCTGGTGAGCTTGAACTGCCAACCTTGTGGTTCAGTCCAGTGCATTAACCCACAGCGTCACACCAGGACCACATAATGCATATTATATATAATATATCTGGCCGCTCATTAAAATTTTCTGGTGTTCAGTGGATTGTACCTGTTGATTTATTCTTATGTTTTCATAGTACAAGTGTGATATTAACAAATGATTGGCTGAACAAAAGTATTTAAGTCTTCTAAAACTTTAATTGACATAAAATTAGAAAATTGGAAATTGTGGCCCAGAAATCAATAGCACTTGTTTCTTCCACCCTCCTTCTATGAGTGGTTTTTCTCTACATTTTATTATTTTAGAATAGTCTTGACTGCAATGTGATTTAGCATTTCTTAAAATTTTATTTTAAAATCTTTGAGATTTTTTAAAAACCTGCTATTAAATACTAACGTAATTGCATAGTGTATTTTCCTGTATGTATGTATTGATACTATAATTATGGTAGAGAAGACACAAATGTTGAGTTGAAAGGAGTTAAAATCCAATCTTAATATTTGCCTCATATAGTGTTCCAAATGCTTTCATGTTTTCATTCCGTAAACTCTCTTTCTTAGAGGCCTTCGAGGAAGAGGACCACCTCCTTCATGGGCTTCTGAGCCTGAGCGTCCTTCCATCCTTAGTGCTTCAGAACTCAAGGAACTTGATAAATTTGATAACCTAGATGCTGAAGCTGATGAAGGTTGGGCAGGTAAGAGACAAAATTAGTTAAGTGCTTTTAGTTGTTGAATGTTTTTACACAGTCAATCTGAGTTTTCCTTAATTTAATAGGTGCTCAGATGGAAGTGGATTATACAGAACAGTTGAATTTCAGTGATGATGATGAGCAAGGAACTAGTGGTCCTAAAGAGAACAACAGGTAAATTGCAGGGGTATCTTTAACTAATAAAAGGAAAATGTGTACATGATTGGTGTCTAGAGATACTTTGAAAGTCAGTGTTAGGATCATTTTAAACATGTTCTTGCTTGACGTGTTCTATGTTTATGAAAATAGAGAGTAAGTAATTGCGTTACTGTAACTGTTTCAAGTTCTGGATTTTTTTTAAGCCTTAGCCATGTTAGGTCTAAGGGAAATGGGGAGCCGTTCCTTCTAGACTATAGGGACATCAGAATCAGGAGTCTGAGTATCATGAAAGTTGGGTTCTTCAAATATGGAAGAGTTTGTAAGTACGTGTTGGTATAGTTTATCAGTAATAGCATTGTAATACACTGCTGTTGCATTTGTGAGATGCTTGTGATTTGATGCTGTTTTTAAAATGACTACTTTGATTACCTTTTTCCTTGTAAATTAGAATGCAATGATATTATCTCTAATGTCACTCATTTACTTTCATGAGGTTTCCTGTGTGGAGTGATACAAAATAGCGAGATTATACTTCTTTTTCCAGTTGTATGTTAATTATGAGTGCCCAAATTTGATGACTACTGTATTTCATTTTATGCCTTATGATAAGCTGACCATACCCAGTGTATTATACATATAAGTTACATGCTAAGTGCATTAGATCACAAAAGCATCTCATTCCTTTATATGAGGAAGCGTCAAAAAGTTCATAGGGGGGGAAAAGCCCTGATCTTTTCTTTCCATTTTTCCATGAATTTTATGAAGTTCCCTCATACATGTTTTTCCTCAGACCACATGGATTTTTTTAAATAGAGAAAAACTCATTTATTTTTTATTTTCTCTGGATTTTGATTCTTCAGTGAGGATCAAGGTTCAAAATCCTCTGAAAACACTGAAAATCGAAAAGAAGCAGATGACGTTAACAGCACTAAATCATCTTCTCAGACACCTGCACAGTCATCAGTAATAAAAGCTCCCTATGGGAAAGGTCCTCCATTTAATCAGGTTTGTTGGACTCATGGAGTTCCTTGTCATTTAAGCATTTAAGATACTATAGATGGATTAATTTTGTAAGCATACAGTTGGAAGGGGACTTACAAAAAGGGAACAATGTATTTTACTTAACTAACTGCCAGACATTGTAGATGAAGGGATATACAGATACACTTGATACCATTTCTAAGATGGTAAAGGTTTTTTTTGTTTTTTAAAAAAAAAAAAAAAAACTACTATCAAATTGAGGGTGGGAAGAGCTTCCCATGAGTCTTCTTTACTCGTTTCAAGGAGTCAGTATATTTATTGTACATGTTGAATTCATGCATAATGGATGGAGACACTGTCAGTTTGGGGCAAAGGGTGAGGAAACTTTTCTTCTGCCAAATGTATAACATCATTTGCGGGCCATATTAAATTACCTACTTAAAAATTAGCTTTTGCTGCATTTGCTCAACATTTAATTAACTCTCTCAAAGAAGCAGGAATTAGTCTGTAGACAAAGTGAACAGAGCCATTGTAAGTAGTGGGAACTTGTGCTGTATGTGAAGTATGAGAAAGCATAGCACTCAACAACTGCTGAGTAATTTGATATGGTAGGAGGGCAGAGGAGCTATGTAAAAGCCATTTGTTATCACTTGTGTTTCACAAGGGAGTCTGAATTTTATCTTAAAGGCTTGGTACCTTAATGAAATAAGCTTTCAAACTTTTTTTAAAAACAGATTTTTTTTTTAAGCTACTGGTCTAATAAAGTAAAACCAAATTCATTTCAGTTGAGGTTATTCTTACTCATAACAACCCTATAGGACAGAGTAGAAGTGCCCCAGAGGACTTCCAGTGCTAATCTTTATGGAATTGGGGGCCTACACCTTTCTCCTGCATCACTGCTGATGAGTTCAAATTGTCAACCTTTTAGTTACAATGAAGAACTCTGACAGCTGTGTCATCTAGGCTCCTGTTGACATGATGGGGGTGATAATTCCTTCATGGGAAATGTCCAGATGTCCTGAGTTTTGTGGAGCTATAAGATATGTACTGATCTGCTAGTCTCAAACCAGATGTTCAAAACCACCAGCCACTGCTTGTGGAAATGGTATAGAAGGTCACTATGAGTTTGCCATCAGGGAAAACAAAATTCAGATAAAATTTTGCTTGCTAAATAAACTAGCTATTCTAGGCACATCTCTCTCAGCCTAAATTTCCTAGGTTGAAACTCCAGAATTGATATTTGTTATTTACAAAGTGCATTTAAAATCCTAACCTTACTTAAAAAACAAAACAAAAACCCTAACCTTATTGAAATGACAGAATGATTCCATAAGAAGTAAAAAGAATAAAGTTACCTTGCAGTGATTTTTATATATATAAAACAAAAAAGATGTCCTTTTAACAGGCCTCTGATTACATTGATAAAATACACTTAAAGAAATTATCTTTTTATAATAGGAACGTGGACAATCTTCACACCTGCCACCACCCCCAAAACTGCTTGCACAGCAGGTAAATTTTAACTAAATGATGCTTTATGATCTGTATGGTTTGTTTGATTTCTTTTGTTTTAATGGAAAAGCTATTTCTATGTATTTTTATAATTTATGAAATATAATTATGGTTTCTTTTACCTTCTGATGACATCATCACAGCTTCCTTTTCATCTTTTCCTTCTTCATCTTTTGCTGATTATTACTAACATATTTCTAAAGTTCAATAAAAGAACCTTTTTGGAACTGTGAGTTAGGCATTGTTGTTAAGCGCCTTAGAGTTGATTCTGACACATAGCGACCATGTATAGGGTTTCCAAGAAACAGCTGGTGAGCTTGAACCACTGTCTTTGCACTCTGCCGCATTAGCCCACACACTACTTCTATGGTGTTTAACATGGCAAAATTCTTTTAGTGAGGTTGTTTATATAAGACAGCAAGTTTGTCTTCCCTTTTCCCGGTTTTTCATTAACACTGTCCAGTCATCCTTTCATGGTGACTATTATCATGAAGATCATTAATGGCTTCCATATTGCTGAATACAGTTCTCATGACTTCATACATGATATCAGCACAAATGACATAGTTGATCTTTTCGTCTTTTGAAAGTTGTTGTTTTTTTATATATATTTCTAGCACTAAGAGCTCTACCTTTAATATGTTCAATAATCAGTTCAGTATTACCACTTGTATTTTTAAGATATCTCATTTAGTAAATCTAAAGGACATTAATCATACGTGATAAAGTAGAGGTCAGTAAAAAAGAGGAAGACACTCAGCAAGATAAGTGTAACACAGGACCGGTTAGTGCTTCTTTCTGTTATATATACTATCTGTGAGTCAGAACTGACTCTACATCACCTAAATAAATCATGAATACATTTTACTCTGGTGCAGTTTACAATCAAGTATATTGAAATTATTAGAGTTTCTTTTTTATTCATCTTTTCCAAGTACACTAAGACAGACAATATTTTGGGCCATAAAGGAAGTCTTAAAATTTTTAAATAATTTAATTATTTAAAACAAAGATTCTGTGTTCTCTGACAGCAGTGTAATTAAGTTAGAAGTGCACATTGTAATTAAATTAGAAATGATTACCTGATAGATGTATTTTTTAAATATCCACATATTTGTATATTTAACAATATACTTTTAAATAACTCATGCATCAAACAAGAGAATGCAAAGGGAATTAGAAAATATTTTGCCCTGAAGGATAATGAAAATACATTTCGAAACCTTTAGGAAACTGTCTAGGCAATGTTTTGTAACAACCAAAAAACATTGTTACCAAGTCATTTCCTACTCATAGCAACCCTTAGCACAGAGTAGAACTGCCCCATAAAGTTTCCCAGGCTATAAATCATTAATAGAAGCAAGTGGCTACATCTTTCTCCTACAGTGGCTGGGGATGTTTTAAGTTAACATGCTCTATTTAGAAAGAAAACATAGAATTAATAAATTAATCAGCTACCTTATGAAACTAAGCTGTTGTGTGGTTTTTGTTTTTGTTTTTTTCCTTTTAATTCTGAGATAAGTAAAAGAAGATAAACAAAAAAGATATGAAAGAAAATTAGTGAAATGAAAAGAATCAAAGACATAAAAGTTTTTTTTTTAAAGATTTGGAAAATTGACCTGTAGTATACTTAGTCAGTATACTACAGGTCAATTTACCAAATCTTTAAAAAAAAAACAGCAACCAGATACATTAAACACTGAAGACTGAACACACCAGAAGTGTTGTGGGATGACATCAAAAACATCATACGTGAAGAAAGCAAAAAGTCATTGAGAAGACAAGAAAGTGTAGAGATGCTAAAGCAAAAGGAAGAAATGAGGTGGTACAAGAGCTAAACAGAAAATTTCAAAGATCAGCTCGAGAAGATAAAGCCAAATATTACAACGAAAATTGCAAAGATCTGGAATCACAAAACCATAAAGGAAGAACACGCTCAACATTTCTCAAGCTGGGGGAACTGAAGAAAAAGTTTAAGCCTAGACTTTCATTATTGAAAGATTCTCTGGGCAAATTATTGAATGATGCATTAAGCATCAAGAGAAGATGGAAGGAATACACAGTCACTGTACCAAAAGGAAATGGTTAATGTTCAGCTGATTCAAGAGGTAGCATATGATCAAGGCCAAATGATAGTGAAGGAGGAATTCCAAGGTGCATTGAAGGACTTGGCAAAGAACAAGGCACCAGGAATTGATGGAATAAAAATTGCAATCTTTCAAGAAAGTCAGGCAGCACAGGAGGCACCTGCTCATCTCTGCCAAGAAATTTGGAAGACAGTTATCTGGCCGACTGATTGGAAGAGATCCATATTCGTGCCCATTCCAAAGAGAGGTGACCCAACGGAATGTGAAAATCATTAGATAAATCTCTGATATTCCATGTGAGTAAAGTTTTACTGAAGGTAATACAGAAACGGCTGCAAGCATACATTGACAGAGGAATCTATACCTGGGCCTAAAGACAGTTTTTCGAACAGAACATGGGAACACTGAATGGTTTCAAATTAAGAAAGGTGTGCAACAAGGTTGTGTTCTTTTACCATACTTATTCAACCAGTATGCTGAGCAAATAATCAGAGAAGCTGGGTTATATGAAGAAAAACGTTGCATCAGGATCAGAGGAAGACTCATTAGCAACCTACAATATGCAGATGATAACAACCTTGCTTGCTGAAAGTGAACAGAACTTAAAACATTTACTGATGAAGATCCAAGAGCACAGCCTTGCCTGTGGATTACATCTCAATGTAAAGAAAACAAAAATCCTCACCACTGGACCAATAAACAACATTCTTTTCAACGGAGAAAAGATTGAAGTTGTGAAGGACTTCATTCTTCTTGGATCAACTATCCACATTCATTGAAGCATCAGTTAAACAACATATTGCATTGGGCAAATCTTCTGCACAAGACCTTTTTAAAGTGTTGAAGAGCAAAGATGTCAGCTAAGGACTACGGTGCGCCTGACCCAAGCCATTGTATTTTCAGTAACCTCTTATGCATGCGAAAGCTGGACAGTGAATAAGGAAGACCATAGAAGAATCGGTGCTTTTGAGTTCTGGTGTTGGCGAAGAATATTGAAAGTGCCATCTGCTGCCAAAAGAACCAAAAGATCCGTTTTGGTAGAAGTGCAGCCAGAGTACTCCTTGGAAGCCAAGATGGCCAAACTTCTTCTCTCCTACTTTGGACATATTGTCAGGAGGGACTAGTAACCGGAGAAGGATATCATGTTTGGCAAGGTGGAGGGTCAGAAAAAAAAGAGGAAGACCCCCGACAAGATGGATTGGCCAAGGGGCATCATTGATGGATTCAAGCATGGCAACAGTAGTGAAGATGGCCCAGGATCTGGCAATGTTTCGTTCTGCTGTGCATAAAGTAGCTATGAGTCGGTACTGACTCGATGGCACCTAACAACAAGATACTGATCAAGAAAAAAAGACGGCCAAGATAGGAATGAAATGGGTAACATCAGTACAGATACTGCAGACCTCAAAAATATCAGCAACACAAAAACTAATAATTAGAACTTACTTAATCAAATATAGACCATTCAATCAAAAAAGTAAAATACAGAAGGACGATGGCCATGGAAATCGGAATCCGCTAAGGAGTACAACTCACCTGCCAAATAAGAATTAAAAAAAAAAAAAGTAAAAACACATTAGAATGGAAGACATAGACTGTCTTACATGGAGATATAATCATATATATATTTATTGGTGTCCAGGTGTCATGCTGTAAGTTAATACACTGGAATGCAAGGTTGGCAGTTTAAGTTTACCAGCCTCAGAAATCCTATACAGGATTGCTATAGTGTCAGAATTGACTCGACACTTAACAACAACAAAATAAATAAAAAGAGACATACCATACTCATGATAGCATAGATTTATTAATAAATGACAATTTTTCCAAAATTGTTTGTAGACTCAGTATAATCTATAAAATTGACAAACTTATACTAGAATATCCAGAACAATTTTTTACAAGAAAATAATTTGAAGGAGGCTTTTTACTGCCTGATAAGATTTACTCAAAAGCTACAGTAAGCATGACAATATGGTGCTGGCTAACAAATAGTCATATATATCAATGGATCAAATTTGGGTGCCCAGTAATGTGTACTTAAAATTGTAGAGTGATTTTTGCTCAAGGCTTTGAACTGTTATTTCCTGATTCAGTCATCACCATCAAAGCAAAACTGGAACAGACCCTAAATTTTAAAAGGTGAACCAGAATGACAGCAGAGGGGTCTCAATTATGGGTTTGTGTCCTGCTATCCAGGAGTCCTGGTGTGGTGCTGCAAGATAATATGCTGGACTGCAAGGTCGATTTGAGTCGCAAGGTTGGCGGTTCAAACTCAGCAGCTGCTTCTCAGCAACCCTATATAGGGTTAATACAAGTCAGAACCTACTCGACAGTGCTTAACAACAGCCCTGCTTGCAAATGAATCTCTTGAAGAGTCAGAAACAGATGGCTGGCTGCTGAACACACTGCTTTGAATGTGTACCATTCTCCACAGTCCTGACAATAATAAAATTTCCTAAAGGAGCTTGCTCTGCACCTCTTCTTAGTCTCCCATTTTAGGACTTAAGCACATAATTTTTTCCCTAGTCTTGTTGTCATTCTACTTTACCCAAATTTTAAAAGTGTCCAGCACTAAACTCAAGCTAACACCTTATAAACACACAGATCTTCAAAACGGTTAGACTGAGCAGAAGCCAGACAGAGAAGAGAATATTAGGAGAAAGTCTAGTGTTTCATCATACCCTATTTTTTTCTTTTATAAGGATGATGACTGGATTGTGTAACTGCAGCGTTCTTTTAAAATCTGTATGCTAAAGGAAAGAACACCTTCATATTTCAGCTCTTATGTGCTTTTTTCATTGTGCTTACTTTTATATAGTTGTTAGATTTTAGACACTGTAGCCATTCTTTTACAATGTTATTTTCAAAGTTAAATTATTGAAAATCAGCCTCTCTGGAGAAGGTGCCCTTACTTTCTACTCTGGGTACTACATAAATAAGAGTTGCCCTGCCCTGCACCCAGCTGATTTCTTCGAATTTCTTCATCTTGTTCACTTTGCCCTTTGGCTGCCTCCTTTTTTTCCAGTAACATCACCTCTGACTTCTCAGGGTTCACGTCCTATTGTTTTGGATTTTTGTGTCTTAATTTTAAGGCATCCCAGATCGGACCACTGCTGCTGAAGCACTTGCACTTTATATATATTTTTTAAATGTACTAAAGTCTCTAAATTTAGATTCTGAGATTCATTTCATGCATCTGGTTTTTCTCAACAAATACTGAGCAAGCAATAACATTTGACACTAAATCAGTAAATGCTTAGTGAATACTAGATGTCTTGATTAATTATTCTGGTTTTGAATTTGGGGATTTATGTAGACTTTATTTTTATCTCAAGTTGTTACTTATTTTTATTTAAAGAGGGTACTTTTACCAGAGAAATCTGTATTTGCCTGTTGGTTATTTTTTCTCCCAATCTGAACCTGTGATCTCCAGTGTAGGTCAGAAATAGAGTTAGCATGCTTATTTGATTATTTTACTGTTTCAGCATCCACCTCCTCCAGATCGACAGGCAGTACCTGGAAGAGCAGGTCCTTTCCCCCCTAAGCAGCAAGTACCTGATGAAGATGAAATTTGGAAGCAGAGACGACGGCAACAGTCAGAAGTTTCTGTAGCTGTGGAACGTGCTCGTAAACGACGTGAAGAGGAGGAGCGTAGAATGGAAGAACAAAGGAAGGCCGCTTGTGCAGAGAAACTTAAACAGTTAAATGAGAAGCTTGGCATTGTGGAAAAACAACCATCTCCCGAGGAAATTAGGGAAAGGGAACGGGAAAAAGAACGGGAACGTGAGAAAGAACTTGAAAAAGAACAAGAGCGTGAGAGAGAGAAGGAGAAAGAAAGAGAGAGGGAGAGGCAACAGGAAAAAGAGAAAGAACTAGAGAAGGAGAAGGAAAAACAAAGAGAAATAGAGAAACAAAGAGAGAAAGAACAAGAACAACAGCAGGAAAAGGAAAAAGAACTGCAAAAAACAAGAGAACTGGAGAATGAATGTGAGCTACAGCAGAAGGAAAGGGAAAATGTGGAGGAAAAAGTTGAACACAAAGACGCTACTTCAGAGCCTGGAATAGAGAAACAAGAAAGTGAAAACATCTCTACTAAAGGTATGGTAGGCTTGATCATTCTTCTAGAAACTTTTTTTAAATTTCCTATTGTTTGGTGCTTGTGTTTTGTTTGCATGTGTATATTTTAAATATATGTCATCTGAATTATGTTAATTTGATATTACTTGAACTAAAAAGTTGCATTGGCTTGATAATCGTATACTCTGAAGCTGCTTTCCCTACTTTTTTCTGATTCTGAGATAGTTTACTAAATGAAACTTCATTTGTTCACATCCATTAATACAGAAATTTACTGAAAGAGAGCTTAATGGAAATGTTGTTGTTGTTGTTATGTGCTGTGGAGTCCGTTCCAACTCATAGCCACCCTGTATAGGGTTTCTGGTGACCTTACAGAAAAGCCTTATCTTTTTCCCACAGAACAGCTGGTAGTTTCGAACTGTTGATCTTGCAGTTCGCAGCCCGATTTGTAACCACTACACTACCAGAGCTCCTAATGGAAATGTTGTTCTTAAGTGCCATCGAGTTGGATCCGACCCATAGTGACCTTATACAGGGTTTCTGAAGAGCAACTGGTGAGCTTGAATCACTGACCTTGCAGTTCAAATGGCTTTGCAGTCTGGTCCATTAACCCACAGCACCACTCCAGGACTCCAATGGTTATAGTAGGTTGTCATTGTTAAATAACCCCACCTATTTGGTAATTGGAGACCTAGTGTGGTGCTGTGGGTTAATACGCTGGACTGCAGAGTCAGTTTGAACTGTAAGATTAGAGGTTCAAGCTCACAGCTACCCCTTGGAAGCCCTATACAGTGTCACTGTGGGTCGGGACCAACTCGACGGCACTCAACAACATTTTGTAACTGCAGGTTTCCTACCAAGTTAAATACGCAGTTCACCACCGCATAGCTAATATGCTCACTAGACTGTAATTTCTGTGTAATTATACCTCTTAGTATAACTATAAAAAGGAGAAATATCTTTTATCAATGTATTCTTAATGAAATAAGGTCACTTGGACCATTTGTTTTTAAATTTTTATAATAATTTACCAGATTTTATAAAATTTTTCATACAAATCATCCTAAAAGAGATCTTATTTTACTGTTATGGATTATATGCCATAAGCACATAACAAGAGTGCTCAAAATGCTAATAAAAATTGAATTGTTTCAGCATAAAATTAAAAAACCTTTGTACACACAGTATAGAACATTAATAAATGCTAAAAAGAGATCACGCAGATAATGAGAATGACTGTGAATTATAAATGACACCATTTATATTTTAGTCCTAGTTCTGCCATTGAGTAGATGTACTGAACCTGTGTAAGTTAAATTTTCATAGTGTCTATGACTACATAAATTCTTTTCCTAGTCTTATTTTTATTTCATCCTCACATTTACTTTTATGTTCTCTTCTGGTAATTTTCTAAATTTATCAAATATCCATTTGATTTTAAATGTTATCTCTACTTGGTGCTCTTTTTTATCCCTCCTTGTTTTTCCATTTTATACATTTCTAATATTGAACATCATGAAGAAAAGTGTACTATGATTTTTCCATTAACAAGGCTTAAAAATTCCTAGTAGTCTGAGATAAAAATTTGTAAACTCAATTTTGTAATTATGACAAATTACAGTCTAATGAATATGATTGTTTTCTTTAGAATGAAAAATCTTTTTTTTTTTTTTTCTGTTATGTTTGTGATTCTCATTTTAACTGATTCCCTTTATATGTCCTGGTGTGGCTGTTAGGATAAGCACTCAACTGCAAGGTTTGCCGTTCAGACTCAACTATGCATGATTGCTTTGCGTCAGAACCAACTCAATGACACTTATCAACATTATGTAAAAAAAATGTTTTAAATATTTGAGGCTATCTACTGATAACTTTTTTTCCCCCCCAGATATAAACTCTTTTTTTTTTTTTTTTTTTAAGATAATATAGTTCTGTGATCCATAAACTATAGAAACCAGTGTGTTGTATTTGTAGGTAATTTATGTTTTCACAGAAGCCCTGGGAAACCACATATAAATAGTTATAGGTAAAGTGTGGAATGTTTTAGCTAGCACCGAATAGTCATATGAATATTTGCTTGGTGAGAGATGTGGACCTGTGATCTTTGTCTTAAACCATTATTGAGAAAATCTTAAGATTATTGAAATCTAATGTTAGCCTCACCAGTGGCTACTAAAATTAGAGTACATTAAAATATATTGGAATATTGAGGATGCCTTCTACATTAACTTTTATTATACCTTAGTCTGATCATTTCATTGTAGTGGTTGAAATATAATGAATTAAAAACACATTTATTGTCATGGATGAAGACAAGTACCTTTCACCTTTTTTTTGGGGGCAGAGGAGGAGCCAATTTTCACGAGACAAGACAGCAATCGCAGTGAAAAAGAGACAACACAGTTGTCTCATGAAACAGAACCAGAATCAGGGTCTCAACCTCGGCCTGCTGTGTTGTCTGGCTATTTCAAACAGTTTCAAAAGTCTTTACCACCACGATTCCAGCGGCAGCAGGTAAAGCTAAAAACAGTTTATTACATATGTGTGATTGAAAAGGTTTATTTCTCAGGAGGTGGAGAAATTAATGTGGCATCAAACCTAAAACATAAATTTACTTTGAAACGCTTTTCCTTTTCAATAAAACTTAATTGGTAGGTCATTTCATTTATTTTTTCCCTTGTCTCATTTACTACAGACACCATCTTCCTACGAAGTTAATTGTACAGTATAATAAATGTTTGTTGCTTAAGTCAAATATGGGGCATGGTGTTATTACTTATACTTAGTTCCTTTGTCTTACTTACTGCCACATCTTTTTACTGCTTTTCTCTCAAAGACTCTCAAAGAGCCATTTTTAGATATGATAGATTATATTAATTCATCATATGGAACGAAAATCTCAGGATGCAGGCTCTTTTTCAGGAACAGATGAAGCAGCAACAGTGGCAGCAGCAGCAGCAGCAACAAGGTGTACTTCCGCAAACTGTGTCTTCACAACCATCCAGTGGTGCTGTTCCTCCTCCACCACACAGACCTCTTTACCAGCCAATGCAACCTCACCCTCAGCATTTGGCTTCTATGGGTTTTGATCCGAGGTGGCTCATGATGCAGTCATATATGGATCCTCGCATGATGTCAGGAAGACCTGCTATGGATATGCCGTCTATTCATCCTGGTTAGTTGAACTTTGCCCTGCCTCATGATAGTTACGAATCGGGTTGTGAACCTCAAGGTCAGCAGTTCGAAACTACTAGTTGTTCTGTGGAAGAAAGATGAGGCTTTCTGCTCCCATAAAAATTAACAGCCTCAGAAA